TCTTCAGCCGTTCTACGGATAGGCCTTGCTGGTGTCTCCATCGCCATCCTTCTGTAAACAGTACTCCCGTGAATATGGGTGAGCCTATGTCTGCCAGGCTAGGGGATAGATCCAGCAGCGGGATTGCTGGCCCGGCCGTACAGAATTTCCATTCCCGGTTATTTGAGATAGCACCCTATCACAGTGGTTATCGTTTGGGCTGGGTCTGGCCTGTGCAGCCCCTTGCCCCGAAGTTCAGGAAGCGGGTCTGTGAAAAACAAGGTGATTCGCTCACAGACCACATCCTGACTCAAAGCCTGCAGCGGCAGCGCAGGCAGCCGCCCTTCTTACCTGCACAGACTTCCCCAAGCCCAGTAGATATCCCACCGCCCCGCTGACGGCGCTCTTTCCCTGACCTAACTCGCTGGGTCACGGAACCCGCCAGGGAGCTCTTCCTCTGCTTAATAAAGTCGCCCTGAACTTCACATCCTCCGTCTCAATTCTACTCTCATTGCGTGCCTCAATTTACCTCTCCGTTAGTAAGGTTTCTCGAGTGAGTAATGCTTCGGTTCTTGGCTTCACGTGCAAAAGAATTCCACGCTGAAGCCCGTTTTGCAATCCAAGTGGGTTTTTATGAAGGACGAGGACAAGTTTCAGGTCTTCCAGTGTCCGAAGGGTACACGCTATTTGGGGGAAGCGTGCCGAGCAGCGAGGAAGCCGTGCTGGGGCTCTGAAACGGTTACAAGCAACCTCGTGGTGCGGAGCACCCACACGGGTGGACCTGGGGGAGGAATCCCAGGGGCCCAGGCATGGAGGAAGAAAGGGCAAGAAGACGGGGCCCGAGAGGATGCAGGACATGAGACAGCACTGGGGGGAGGGAGCAAGAGGATGTCCCCACGCATGCTTCCTCCCTTTATCCTGGCCCACCTGGGTGATAAAGGGTGGTTGAAGGCATTGGTTGACCCCATTGGCTGTGTTAAGCCCACCTGGGTGATGTCACGGCCCCTGGATGTACCTCCCACCTGGCTTGGGGCTTGAATTGGAGCGTGCTCAGTTAGGGTGTCCGCATAGGCGTCTAATGGTGGCCAGAGTTCGTCCCAACCTCCTTTAGGGGGGCCTTTTCAGGCATGGGAGGGACAACCCGCTGTCCCTGAACTAGCTACCAGTTATACATATTTACAGCCCCACCAGCAGTGTGTGAGGGCCTCCGATGTCGCTGAACCCTCTCTGGAATTTATCTTCCTTTTAAAAAAATGTAATTTGGCCGTCACTGTTGGTGTCACAGGTGGAATCGCCACATCGCTTTGATTGGATGGCCAGGACTCATGAGGATTTCTTCATCTTCCATGAACTGACTGTGTCCTTTGCCCATTTTTTAATTGGGTTATTTGTCTTTTTCTTATTGAGGTGTCTCATTTTTCTTTGTCCCTGTAAAAAAAAAAAATTCCCCACTCCCTGGACCCTCTCTACTCTTTTGATGAAGTCTTTTGATGCACATACGTGTCTTACTTTTAGTAGGGCCCAGTCATCTATTTCATCTTCTACTGTGCTGTTTCCTTCATGATATTGGACAGTGTGTCTATGCCCTTACATTTCTCCCTCTTTTCTCATGGATGGTCTTGGCTGCTCTGGGATGTTACATTTCGATTTGGCTTCATCTTGAGTTTGTCTCTGTATGTGGAGTGAGACATGAGCCCGGTTTCATCCTTCTGCAGATGGAAATGCGATTTTGCAAGCACCGTTTGTTGAAGAGACTCATCTCTTTCCCATTCGATGCTTTTTGGCCCTTAGTCAAAGATCATTTGTCTGTAGGTGGGTGGTTTTATTTCTGGGTTCTCTATTCCCTTGGCTTATGTAGTTATCATTGTGCCAGGCTGTTTTAACTACTATGACTATGTAATAGATTTTGAAGTTGGGAAATTAGAGGCCTCCTATTTTGTTCCTTTGCTTATGAAGTTCTTTACATATCCTGGGTCTCTTTCCTCTCCATATAAAGTTAGTAACTCATTTTTCCATATATTTGAAAAAAGAGGTTACGGCCGGGATCAGAACTGCGTGTATCCACAGATTGCTTTGAGTAGCACGGGCAATTTTGCAAGGTTAAGCCTTCCTATCCATGCACATGAAATATTCTTCCATTTATGTGGTTTCTTTTGATTCCTTACAGTAATGTTCTGTAGTTTTCTTTGTACTCGTCTTTTGTTTCTCTGGTTAAGTTTATTTCTAAATACTTCATCAAATATTGTGTGGCTATTGTAAATGCCTGTTACATTGTATCCAGCCACGTTGTCCAATCTTGGTTGTTGTTTGTCCAGTCTGGCGTTTTCTTTTTCTTTTTTAATCATTTTACTGGGGGCTGGTACAACTCCTATCACAATCCGTCCACCCATCCATTGTGTCAAGCACATTTGTACATTTGTTGCCATCATCATTTTCAAAACATTTTCTTTGTACTTGAGCCCTTGGTATCAGCTTCTCTTTTTTTTTTTTCTCTCCCTCTCTTTCCTCCCCTCCCTCCCTCACGAATCCTTGATAATTTATCAATTATTATTATTTTTTCATGTCTTACACTGACCAGTGTCTCTCTTCACCCACTTTTCTGTTGTCTGCCCCTCTGGGAGGGGGTTATAGGTAGATCATTGTGATTGCTTCCCCCTTTCTTCCCCACCTTCCCCTTACCCTCCTGGTCTGGCTACTCTCATTATTGGTCCTGAGGGGTTTATCTGCCCTGGATTCCTTGTGTTTCCAGCTCTTATCTCTATCCGTGTACATGCTCTGGTCCAGCCGGATTTGTAAGGTAGAATTGGGGCCATGATAGTGGGAAGGGAGGAGCATTAAAGAACTAGAGGAAAGTTGTATGTTTCATTAGTGCTATACTGCACCCTTACTGGCTCGTCTCTTCCTTGTGACCCTTCTGTAAGGGGATGTCCAATTGTCCACAGATAGGCTTTGGGTCTCCACTCCACACTCCCCCTCATTCACATCGATATGGTTTTTTGGTCCTGGATCCCGGATACCTCACCCCATGGACACCTCGTTATCACACAGGTTGGTCTGCTTCTTCCATGTGGACTTTGTTGCTTCTCAGCTAGATGGCCGCTTGTTTACCCTCAAGCCTTTAAGACCAAGTCTGGGATTTCCCAAGCCTCAAATCACATCAT